TCTAATATACGAGGAGCATAGAAGAATCTAGGGATTTATTCTACACTGGTCTTAAGATCAACAACACACCAAATGGATGTCAAGCCACACTTCCATGTGTGGACCTTCTTGGTTTCCTCATGTCAGAAAACAAAAATTTTGATGATCCAATCTTCAAGAACTATTCCAGCTTCAAATACATAAATCTCAAGCAAAGGCAAACATTTCATCCTTCTGAGAAGTTTTATTGTGTTATGTCTTAATCACACAGATATGGCTCATTTTTCAGGAGAATTACAGAATGGTCCCAACTAGAGATCATTATGCTCAATGAAATATACCAATCTCTAAAGACAAATATGTTCTCTGTGATATAGGCAACTTTCATGTAAAATATAGAATCAATGCATAGGTAAATATGTATATACATATATTTATTTAGAAGAACTGCATATTAGAGGCAAGTATACTGAGAAATAGATACAGTGCAGTATGCATCTCTGCTCCCAATAGTGTCTCTTAATTCTTGAATATTTTTTATCTTGATCCAGCTCTGCTTCCAGTTTTTGTTTGTTTCCCCCTGGTGACAGGAAATATCTTCCAAACCTGAGATTCTTCTGCCTCTTTCATTCTATTTTGGAGACCCTACAATGTAGTTTTAATTTGTTCCACTGTATTCTTCATTTCTGATATATCAGCTTTCATTTGATTCATTTCCAGTGTGATGTATTCCTTAAACTCTTTGAATGCCTGCTTTACGTGCTTCTCATTGTTGATAAGAAGTTTTATAACAAGTGTTTTGAATTCTGTATCCCCCATTTTCTCAATGTCTTCCTCAATGAACTCTAAGATTGGCAAAGGCTTTTGTTCCTTTGCAGAGAAGTCTTCAGTAATATTCATTGTGCCTTTGTTTCCTCCTTTGCTCTTGATCATTGTACTTCTGGTTATCCGATTCTTCTCTTTGGTGCAGGTTTCTAAGCTGTGTCACTCATAAGTCTACAATTTGGTTTTACTTATTGCAGTTGGCACATGGCTCTTTGTTTGCAGTCATTTGTGCCATTCCCTCCAGCAGTTTCCAGGTCTTGGTTCTTATGTTAGATCTCCACTATGGTCTCCGTAGCCCCAGCTCCTGGCTCACCACTCTCTACCTCCTGTGAGCCCATGCTGAGGCTGTACCATTGTCTGTACAGCCTTTCTCCTACTTCCTGTTGGATCAGGTCCCAGGATTAGGGAGATACCAGGTGTCCTATATAGCAAGGTTGTTGTTGATGGTGATCTTGCATAAACCTGTTGGATGTTAGGTCTGAGGGCCACACGGACCTGTCTTGACTTGTACGATACCAAATTGGTGTTATTTACCCTGTGGAACTAGGGCAATGCACTGAGGTCAGTGAGTTCACTGCCAGCTCAGCTCATGCACAGCTCGCTATTGTCTCTGCAGTCTTAAAACCTTTGCCACACTGTACAAAATGGTGTCTGCTGTGCCACTACTAGAGTTCTTGATCTGTTGGCCATCAAGTCTGAGGGTGACTCAGACCTATCTTTGGTGGAACCTGCAAGATGCCATGTTGTTGCAGTTCACTGAGTCAGAAATGAGTTCACTCCCAGCCCAGTGTATGCACAATACTTTCCCATAGCCTTCACCTCCCTGAGAAAAATCATGCCCAATTGGCTCTAGGGGCTAGACTGAGCTGCGAAATCCACCCTGTTCCTGCACCATCTGTCTGAGACCTGCTAGTCTGTCTCTGTTCTTGGTCAAATCAAACAGACAAGCAGGATGGTCAGTTCTTTGTCTGGGTTCACCTTCTGAGTTCCCAGTGAACATCCCTTGCCACCTTGTTGCTGATGGACGTCCAATTCAGAACACTGGCTGAATGCCGCTGGGGAATCAGTCATTGCTACACCACAACATTGTGTCTGCTGCTCTCCTATGTCTGTCAGTGCCCAGGTACCCCTCTGCTGTTGCTCTGTCATCTCCTATTTCCTGGAAAGTGCCCTCTCTGTTTCACATTGGCTAATGTCCTGCTGTCTGTAAACATGTCCTTTACCCTATTCTGCCATCCTGATTGTGACAATGCGGCCTCTTCCTTTTATTCTCCTACTCTGCTCTTCTTTGTCTCTCTCTCTACACTCTCTGCTTTGTTTCTCCATCTCCATTGCTTCTTTCTCTCCCTTCCTCTCTTTCTCTGGCTCTCTTGCTCTCTAGCTCTCTGCTTCTGCAGTCTCTGTGCCCCACAGCTGACTCTTCTACCAAAATAAATGACCTCTTCTATTCCTTGCTCATTTTATCTGGCTCCTTGTGTTTGTGGCAAATATAGTTAGCATGTTACATTTTGACCCCTAGGCAGGTGCTTCCAATCAAGGCTGTGCACACTCCAGCACCTGTTACTACTTTAGCATGGTGGGTTTTCCTACTCCCTAAAGCTTGTTCCTGGTACTCCTTGGTTGCATTGTCCTCTGGTTCTTCCTGCTTAAACCCTGTGCTCATTCTGCCTGAGCCTTGAACCTCAGCCAAACCTTCTGGTCTAAACTTCTGCCTTGTATTGTCATTCATAAAACACACAGCCATGGGACACCTGCTCAGTCTAGGTCATGTTACTAAGCACTATGGGAGACAACGTTAACTCAAAGAGTGTCAACTTTCACACTGAAAAGCATTTTTCCAGAGATGTATTTAATTTGGGGGATAACCACATGAACATTTAGTTCATGTTCTGTTGATATCAACATTTTTGCTTTAATTTAAGATGAAATGATGCCAATATGAAGACTATTTATTGGCTGGGGAAAGGGAGTGAAATGAAAGATCAAAGTTGCAGGGGATATTTTTAAAAACCTGCAGTTCACAGCTCAGTTTGTATTTCTCTACTTGTTTCAGGATATTTTATAGACCAAAATAAAAAGGTTGGCCACACAGTAGTTTCCGGTTAGTAAACTAAGATTCCTGGAAACCCAAGTAAGAGTTGACTGGCGAGTCGCCAGAGAGGCACAAACAGAATGTGGATGCGCAGCTGCACTGGATTTCTCAAGTCCACACCTTTCTCCAGGCTGCAGATGCTTCTAGAAACTCTGAGCCCTTGGGACACCATCCCTGGCTTCCTCACTTGCTCATGATAATACACAGATCTTCCGGGAGACCTAGGACCTAGACCGGAAGAGGAAATCTGCTTTGATTTAGAGATAAAAGATCAAGCCAAAGCCCCAAGAGTGTTCATGGCTAACTGGCCCAATAGAAATGAAATGTGAATTAACTGCATTCTAAATTATGCGGCTGGCCCCACCACAATATGCTCCCTCCCCACCACCCGATTTTTTGAGGTTTATTTCTAAGTATACTTAAATTCAATTTAACTTTTAACAAAAATAATGAATTAATCACCTGGCACCCATTTGGTACTTAATAAATGTTTATAAAATACAAGGGTTAATGATGTTGTAAGAAGAAAAAGGTCACATTGCTTAGGATAAGTCAGGTGACATGAGATGAGGACACTTATTTGCCTACACTGGTTTCTGAAGTGACTTTATTACTTGGCTGAAACAACTTCAATTAAAATCTATGGTGCCTCAGAAGCTAATGATTTCAGGATACGAAAGTGGTTCCTATTCTGGCATTTCATTACTAAATACATCTGTATTTACAGTACGCAACCTTTACTAAACTGATATTCTCATAGGATATACAAATAACATCCTGACACTATCATGGACTTACTCTCACTCTTCTGATTTTCTTCTATAAATTAATATTTGAAAGCCATTTTTGAGAATTTTAGCATTTTAACTGGATTGAATCAAGTCTTCATGGAATAATTCTACTAAACATTATTGCTTCATGTAAGAACATAAGTATGTACATTTTTTTAAACCACGCCCTAACTTTGCATGATACTGTCTAATGACACAAATCAGTTATTTTAAGAACTCCACCGTCACCCTGCAGTGCAAGCTCTCTGAGCCCAGTTGTGGTGTAACCACAGCTCCCTTTAACACTAAGCCTCAGTAAACCGATTTTTGCCTGAAAAAAAAAATCATGATAACAAAACAAATTAGACTAAATTCTTAAAACAGTAAGTTAAACGTTCTTTTGGTTAGAAAACGAGGTGGAGTAGTTTTCCCACGGGTCTGGGAATGGGAAGGACACACGTGCCCTTCCACCTCCACTGGACCCATCGTGACTTCCCATTCAGCTTCCAGTGCGTGCTCTAAGCTCTGCCGAGCCAACTCATCAACTTGAGGCTCAGCATCCTCGTCTCTCAAATCAGGCTTACCTCTTGTTTTTTACACCGATTTTGGCTTGGTTTTCTTCCTTTGCTTTCCCTGGCATATCAGATGAGAGGATCACCTCTGTAAAATGGGGACCTCCCCTTTTTTTTTTCTCCAATAATGAACATGAATATGTTGTCAACAGTTATCTCTCATACGCTGATTTTTGGTACATAGCTTTCATCAATGATCCTAATAAACATCTTTAATTGTATATAGACCCAGAAATCTTACTGCCATTCAATACTTCATGAAAACAAGTTTCTTTTCTAGGTTCTAATACAGTGGCATTTAAACAGACTCCAGTACACGTGTTAAAGCACAGCCATCACTTCACAGCATTAGGATGTGCAGTCACAGAGCCCAAGTTAACATTCCCTCTGTATGTAAAGGTGAGTTTTCTTAAATGAGATTTCAACACGTTCTCCTGAAGTATTCTATAGGCATAATTGCAATTGTTCTGTAAATGTGTAAGAGCCTTAGGACTTTATCTTTCAATTATATATGATATGCAATGCTTGTTTCCGACACCTGCAGAGAAATTTCCCGGACACCAAAAGAAAACTGTGCTTTCATTTCATTAAATTAGTGTGGCTTCAATTTCACATTATCTTTAGCTGCTCAGCCCATACTATTACAGGTTTATTGCTTCTCCTGGGCTATACTAAAAGTTGAAACCTCAAGTCATTTTCTGCTTTATTGATTTGTAGGAGGAAAAACTGAAATTAATCCTGGTCATTACAGAGAGTACTTACAATTTTTTTGCCTTCTATTAACACAGTAGAAATATTTGTTTCAACATTCTGCAGTATCACATTTCCTCTCTTTTCTCTGTAGATGAATTCTTTATCTACAAGAAAAGAAATAAAGAAGAAACATGAAACATCAAGAAACTTACCCCAGGTTTTTGATGGACGCTTACGTAAAATGAATTAACTAGTTTTGAAAAACAATATTAAGTAACACGCATGTGGATGTATATTTACAAATACTGTGAAACAAATGGTAAATGCTCTGAAAAAAGCAGCCATTGATGAAGAGGCAGGACACACAATGGGAAAATGAGAAATGCCATCTGAATGAAGGCAATAACACAGCCAGTTTGACAATAGGGAATTTCCCACTAGAGTAGTTGATTGAATAGCATTATGCCAATTGCATTAATTCATCCCATTAGGTAGATCCAAATGGGGGTGGGTGACCTCAGAGTTCTCGGGCTCCGAAGACACTCCAATTCCCCGTGGTCTCCTTGGCAGTTGGGATATAGTCCTCAGTGCTCATACTGATAGTCCTTGGTGAGGATCTGGGAGTCTTCAGGGTTGGGATACAAGCCTCCTCCTGTCTACCTGCTCCACTCTGGGGTCCCTCCCAGCTCCATGCATATGACCTCCTGTTAAGAGGTTGTCAGGATCGCTCTTGATTCTCCCATATGCCTTTGTAGTTTTACTATTGTCTAATGCTGATTCGAGTCTGTTGTCTATGAGTTACCAGTTATGACCCTGATAGGTTATACTTCATGTCTTCCTCACACATTCTAAGGTGATGTAAGATTTCTCTGCTCTCCCTCCCCATTATGGAATAACATAGGGTATTAAAAGTATATTAGGCTTTACAGTTCTTTGATGTAGATCATAAACAGTCTGACTCACATTGACTGTTGATTCATAGATTACATCACATTATCTTATTGCATTAGATACTGGCTGTTTGAGGTTGAAATAATATTACAATATACAGGTACAATTTTCCGGATTGACATAATTTCATTTTACATCAAGGCAAACATGCGGTACTTAAGCTTTGGGGATTGGCTCATTTCCCTTAGCATAATGGTTTCCATTTGGCCACAAAAAAACAGCAAATCGTTTTTGTTTTTTTTTTTTTAAATAGCTGAGTAGTATTCCATGGAGTAAATGAACCATAGCTTTCTTATCCAGTCTTCTGTTGATGGACATTTTGGTTGCTTCCAAGTTTTTGCAATTATTGATTGTGCTGCTATGAATTGAAGAACTGAACTCTGGTGTATCACGTGGGTGGCAGAGACCCAACTAACTGACATATCATCTGCTGTTCCCCAAGTTGAACATTAAGAGAAAGCTAGGACTGGGAGCTGAGCTGGGACTCAAATGTCGGCATTCTATTAGAAGATGTGGGCATCCCGAGAAATGTCATCTTTTTAAACATGGATTTGCCAATTATTCTCCTTTACCAATATTCTCTCATTCTAGTATTGTAATTAGCCATTTAAAGTATCTAAAAAGTTCATAGAAAATACATCTTATGAAAAGCAATGCATACATTTTAAGATAATTTTTCAATAAAATAATCTTTCCATTTAATTCCATTTGTCCCCTTAACTTTTTGAAATATATTGTAAAGTTTGATTTCATCTCAGATATCTAATGCTTTGTTCATTAAAAAGTATGTTTTGTCTCTATTCGCTTTTGGAAATTTGTCTTGAACTATTATCAAAGTTAAATTTTTTTTATGCTCTTTAACCTATCAAGTATACTCAGTGAATATTTTAGTTTCAGAATTTGTACTTTCTATTTGGAAATCTCCATTTGTTTACTTTGTTTCTAATTTTCTGCTGAATTCTCCCATTTCTCTATTGTGATTTTCATCCACCAAAATGTGATTACATTAATTCATCATAGGGAGCTTAAAAATAGTTTTTAAAATATTTTTTTTTTATTCCCAAACCATTTAAGAGTATGTTCCATCTTCTCTCCTCTTTGTATGTCTGTTAATGTTGGATTGTATCCTTGACATTATAGATTTCTGGACACTCTGGGCTTTGTTGTTATTCCCCAATGAGTGTGGCTGATGTTGCAATAGCAGGTCATTTTCTTTGCTCTGTTAAGACTACCAACCACCAGGTATATAATTATACCTACAGCTAAATAGACACAGGTATGTACATATGGATAGATTGATAGATGTAGATACAGATGATATAGTGATATTGTTTGCTTTTGCAGAAACTATTTTGGGTAAATTTCTTAACCTGACATTCCAAGCTCCTTACATTCTGGCCTGGGTCTCTTGCCCTGTTTTAACTTCCCAACACCTTCACTAAGCATCATGAACAACACTGCCCTGTCTTCCTTGCTGCTGTGCTTCCTCACGCAGCTGTGTTTGCCTGGAATGCCCTTCTCAGACAGCAGCCAGTTGGAGTGTTCTGGTCTCAGCATCAATGTCAGCTCCTTTGTGAGGTTTCCATGCCTCTGCCAGACAGAATTAGTCATCTCTTTTCAGTCCATATTTCATTCACTCTATTCTATCTCACATAAGCTCGAGTTACGTGTCTGTTAGAGTTCTCTGACTCCTGCAGTAAGGTGCATGTTTCTCGGGGTAAGAGGCCAGACATTGTTGTCATTCTATCTCTATACTGAGTATAGTGTCTGGTCTGAAGTAAGTTGCTGAAGGAATCCATGATGAATCGAGGGAATTAATATTGCCATAAGCCTGATTTATCAAACTTTACATGTGAGACAACAAACAGAACCACTTCGTGAGAGGAACTGCTGGAGGATAAAGGAATCATATAAATCAAAGGACACATTAGAAAATAGATACATAAATTCTGAATTTTTCAAAATATGTATTTTGTGCCACATCATGAGACTCTATTTTATTGCTGTCTTTGCAATGCAACACAAAGCTACATGGTTAAACATACACTGCATAAGACCATTACAGAATTGGGAAACAAAGTTGAAAAACCCTAACTCAATGTGAGATGTAAGAAAGATGTTCTTTCATTGGAATAGTTTTCCCAAGAAACAAATGACAGTGCCATCAACCAGTGGTTCTTTTTCTTTTTCTTTTTTTAAAGAGATCTATTTATTTTTATTGGAAAGTCACATATACAGAGAGGAGGAGAGACAGTGAGAAATCTTCCGTCCGATGATTCACTCTCCAAGTGAGCGCAACAGCCGATGCTATGCCAATCCGAAGCCAGGAGCCAGGAACTTCTTCCAGGTCTCCCATCTGAGTGCAGGATCTCAAGGCTTTGGGTCGTCCTCAACTGCTTTCCTAGGCCACAAGCAGGAAGCTGGATGGGAAGTGGGGCTGCCAGGATTAGAACCAGTGCCCATATGGGATCCCAGAGCGTTCAAGGCGAGGACTTTAGCTGCTAGGCGATGCCGCTTGGCCCTAGTGGTTATTTTTCATATAACAAATATCTAGCACTCAATATTTAAAATGTATTATTTGTCTCACTGTTATATATATTTATGGAATTTTACAAAGCTAAAAATAACAAAAATAATGAGTTCAGTTAGTTATAGAACAAAGAAAGTGATTAGATTTCATTTTGTTTTGTTTGACCAAACTGATGCAAAAGGATAGAGCAAATGAAACATGCTTATTCTAATTCTTCTAAAAATAACATCCTAATCAATTACAAGAACTATCATATACCAAATGATGCGATATGTTGCTAAGCAATGATGGTCATTAAAAAAATATTTTCAAAGGTCATAACTGTAATGAGAGCTTAAGTAATCTCATGGCATCTAATGGTATTACAATTTTTTTTAACAATCTGAGCCTAGATCTCATTTTTAAAGTGTCACTGTAGATTAGTTTTAGCTTTCTAAAGTGTGCTTTGGTATAAATATGAAAAAGAATCTTTACAAAGGGATATATATTAATTTCATTCTTTTTGAAAAGATTTATTTGAAAGGCATAGTGCCAGAGAGAGGAGAGAGGAGAGAGGAGAGGGAGGGAGGGAGGGAGAGAGAAAGAGAGAGAGAGAGAGAGAGAGAGAAAAGGCATTTTTCCATCTAGTAAACAGATACAATAGCCACAGTTGGGCAGGCCAACACCAAGACTAAGGTACTTCCTGCACATCTCCCATACGGGCTGCCATGACTCATGCTCTCATGCTGCTCAGTTGGCTTCCGGGGACTGTTAGGAGGGAGCCAACTTGGAAAAGGGTGGATGGGACTCCAACTGGCCCTCCAGGATGAGATGTGGGTGTTGCAAGCTGTGGAGTAAGCAGCTGCACACTAATCCATGGTTCTGAAACAGATAGTAACAGCAGGAACTGATTTTTTTTCATCACCATCTTTTCATTTAAACAATGGCTGAAAGTAACAATGTTCTGATTATTTTCTAGATATAACTTACTTATATTTATATACAGTATAATTATTCTGATTCACCTATATCCCATGACAGTTGAGATCAATGTTATAAAACCCTTATCAATAACACTTACATTGCAAATACCATATTCTACTAAATGAAACCAGAACTTTTCATGAGTAGCTGATTCCAGGTCAATGATAGAAAATATATGGGCCCCAGGGCGTGGCCTAGCAGCTAAAGTCCTCGCCTTGAATGCGCCAGGATCCCATATGGGCACCAGTTCTAATCCCAGCAGCTCCACTTCCCATCCAACTCCCAGCTTGTGGCTTGGGAAAGCAGTCAAGGACGGCCCAAAGCTTTGGGACCGTGCACCCGTATGGGAGACCTGGAAGAAGTTCCTGGCTCCTGGCTTTGGATTGGCATAGCATCGGCCGTTGCACTCACTTGGAGAGTGAATCATCGGACGGAAGATCTTCCTCTCTGTTTCTCCTTCTCTCTGTATATCTGACTTTCAAATAAATAAATCTTAAAAAAAAAAGAAAATATATTAAGCCAAGGAATCTGAGAAAATACACTAGGATTATGGCAAAATGATTCAGAAGCCACCGTGATTACAGGGCTCTCTCTAGTCAGGGACACAACGTTTGGAACATCAATGAGAAAATAAGTGAAGTGGACTGAAGCTCATCAATTGGTCTTTGAACATAAAATGCTGCTTTAAAAACAAGCATCTTATTTAATTGGTAATTATTA